ACGTGTCGTCGAGTGCATTGGGTTGCATTGCTTGCATGCTTTTTTGCGACATTTTAACATTTGCATTGTTTCATGTGTTACTTTGGATCATGTGATCACTTAGGTTCAATCTACCGCCCCGACCTGATTGAACGATCACTTTAATCCCATCGGCCATCCTGACCCGATCGACTGATCACATGGGTTTGATTGGCTGCCCTAGCCAGATAGACTGGTCATTTGGGTCTGATCAGCCGCCCTTGCCTGATCAACTGATCTCCTCAGTCCAGTTGGCCATCTAATGGTTCTTGGGGTATTTATGCAAATCCCAAATGAGAAAATCATGCAAGGAAGTTCTAGAAATCCACTATAATAGAACATTAAAAAGAGAGACATTTCTTAAATAATAATCAAATAAGAGGGGGGACGGTCATTATTAATTAAATCATGGAAGAAAAGACATAAGTGACGCAGAAATTTCCAGTGACGCGGAGCTTCCCGCACGAACGCGGGACGCGAAGCTTCCCACATTGACGCGGGAAGCGGAAAATCCCGCTACTAAACCCAACAGGTCTGATTGAGGGCCGATCCAGGGTGAACCCAGACTGAGTGGCTTGGGGCAAGATTTTGATGGGGTGGGACTTCCGCCCGTCCCTCTCCCCTCTCCTCTTTCCGTTTCTACTTCTCCTTCATGTAGGAGGTATTTATTTGTTATTTTCAGAGTTTATGATTAGTTTTTGTTTTGTGTCTCTTTTAGATTCCTTTGTGGATTTGTTCTCCCTATTTTAAAATTGTATATGATCCTACTCTGATATGATTATGTATCTTACTCTATCCTCTTCTCTACCTCATCTCTTTCCCATTAGCCTTCGACCATTGCTCTACCATGCTCGCTAATCTGCCACCCCTTTTCTGCTATTGTCTTGTTGTCCAACCTTTCCAATCCGCCTTGCAGCACTATTCCCCTCCAACCTACAATTGGACTTTCTATCCAACCCTCCCAGCCGCATCTTGAAGCTTATCAGGCCCTCTGTTGCATTCACCCTTGTTGTCCCAAGCCTCCAGATCGATCGAATCAACCTCCACTACCCTTGGTATACACTTTCGAGGTGTCTGTTATCATTTGTTTTTTTTGTTGAAGAGTTGTCGTTGTAACTAATTTCAATTTCACTAATAATATTAGTGTTTCTTTTGTAGTTTGTGCTACCTCCTTCGCTATATTTTGATATCAGAGCTAGTCCAACCCTAGTCCTATCCTCTAGGGTTTCCTAGTATCCACCGCTTCCCAAGCCATCTCCACAAATTTTTTTCTTTCCTATTCCAAACCATAGCCAAAACTTTGACCCAACGCTCAATTCCTTTTGTTGATTTTCAAAATCAGTAATTCTAAATTAAATTTTTAGCCCTCTCACTCCCAACTCTAAACCCTGGCCATGCCACCATTGAGATACATACCTGAGCCTTCCCGAGAGGAGATACGACGAGAGATCTGCCGACTTCGACTGTAGATTACGGACTGGAAGATGAAATCCAATGGGAGATCACCCTTGACAGTGATCTGAAAAATCACAGAGGGGAATGAGAAGATATGTAGATGAAGCGGGAAACACAACACTGATTCCTGCCAACATACTACTTCCAAAAGTTGCAGACTCTAGCTTCCAAAGTGGAGAGACCGCAATACCAAGAGGCCCCCCAGGCTACTATCCAGTGAAACCAATCTGCAAGCCTGCACAATCGTAAAATGTTAGAAGTGTCACAGATTTGGACATGTTGAAACATAATGCATAACTAGAGGAGTGATCTACCTCCTTAAGTAGGGCGTCAGCGAAAAATTGAGAAAAGACCACAGACACTGAAGGCATAAATGGGGAGAACCGCCTTCCAGTTGAGAAGAACAAGATACACTTAGTCTCAGCTGGTAGAAGACTCCAACCAACTTCATTAAATGCAGCCATTGCAGTTACGAGTTTGATGATTGAGTTGACCTTGCAGCGGAAGAGCATAAAGTTAATAAATGAAAGGATTGGAGGTTTAGAACGTCGATATGATTATGATAGTGAGTACCTTCAAAGACATTCAAATTTTGAGGTAGCTTATTACGAAGCTCAGGCCCGACACTACAGAGGTGAGTCTGATGTTGCTTTCCCTGAGTGCCCTCGATATACTCACTATCAGGTCGATCCACCTGCTGATCAAGGAGATGAATACATAGTTTGGGATTTTGATATTTGAATGTAATTGATGTACTTGTACTTGTACTTTTATTTTTGTGATCTTTTGTAAAAAAAATGGATGTTTATGTGTATTTGGACTTTCATTTTTATTATTATGTTGTACTTGGAT